GAGCTCTTAACCACTGCACCAACAGGGTTCCATCTCCTAACAAAGGTAGAGAAAAGTCCAAGAGACTTTATCTCTACTATTAGAAACAGGAAGTACAATTCAGCAGGAATATTAGATAGGGGAGACAGAACTCATTTTATCCAGGAATATGCACCTTTTATAAGAGACAACAGTCTGCTTCCGTAAAGATTTACAGCCTTGGGAACCCTATGGGGCAGTTCTACTCCGTCCTATAGGGTCGCTATGAGTAGAAATTGACTCAGTGGCAATAGGTTTGGTTTTTGGGGATATGAGGCAATATTTTCATAGCAATCTTAATCATCTGAATGAAGGATGCTCATCATTTATTAGTAATGAGAATAAGCGGGAAACAGATTGGGTCTCCTATTAGCTCTCCCATCTCTGAAGCAGCATGTGCAAGCACCCACTGACTTTCAACCCTCCCTCCTCCCTGCTGTGACTGACTCTGGGGAGTGGAACCAGAATTTCTCCTTCAAACACTAGGTAACAGGCATCAGGGCAGACAGCATTCACCCAAGGACAGGAGAGGATGATCAGGTACGTAAGAGGCTTACCAGCATTCCTCAAAACTGGACTTTGAAACTATTCCCTTCCACAGTCCATCTGTAAACTCCTTCCCAACAGCATACCCATTGTTTTCTATAAGGGTGGGGAGATTGTGGGTGGAAAAATTTTTTTAAAGAATACCTTTAACAACAACAAAGGAGGCAGAGGGTCAAAGACTGGTGTTGGTAGTCGAGGAGATGGAAACAAGAACCAGTGGTTGGAATCACTGCTTGACAACCACGCGGAAGGCTTTGCTTAGAAGAGGCTTTCTGGAAACCTTATGCAGAGTTTTAATTTGTTGAGAGAGATGGATACACAGATCTTTATGGGGATGGGAGAAATCAGCAGAAGAACAGCACCCTGGGTAGCAGTATGACTAGGGAGGTAGAGGAGTGCAAGAAGATGGGTGAACTCCAGTTGAGGTCCAAAGAGGTATGTATATGTAACAGTAATAATGAAATTAAACATTTATGAAGCATAGGAGGGAACACAACGATGAACAAAACAGTTCCTATTTCAAGGGTCTTACAATATGTAGGTGAGATAAAGAAATAGACAATGAACAAGGCAGATTATAAGGGCTCTAAGAAAAACACAAAGAAGGTCTGTAAGAACACAAAAGAAAAACTGCTACCAGCCTGCTGGGATGCAAGACTTAGAAGGTCTGGCCTTGAAAATACTCAGAGTAGGTTGGAAGTCCTTTGCATTTCCTTCCTTTGTCCCTTAAATCAGGCAAAATCTAAGAGAAAATCGCATCTACCACCAAAATGTTGGGTGGTAGATCAAGAATAAGGCCCTTAAGTGGAAGACAATCCACGGTAATTTACTTGGAAGCACCATCAAGAAAGGAAATGTCATGATGATCCCTTAGCAACACATTGTAGCAGCAACTGGGTCTAGTATTCTGTTTGAAGAGCACTGGAATTCTTGGCTTTATATTATACTTTCTCTGTCAGGTAATTCGTTTTCATGTGTAACCATGATTCTGTGTCTGTTATTGCAAGTAAGATCTAACTATTCCTTTTGGCATTAAAGATTAAAATAAAATAGTTACACTATTCATCTTGACTTTCTTGGTATTACTTTCAGAAGTGACACTTGGTTGTATTTCTCCTTCACTGATGGAAGAAACTAATAATTTCTCCAAATACCAAAGAGGAGGAAGGTAATTCTGGCTTAACAATATAATTGCCTTTGAATCCAGGATGTCTATTACCTCTTAGAAAATTTTCCCACAATGACGTTGCATATAAAAAGAAATGGCCCTAGTTAAAGTGCCCCATTCTTTCAACCCTGTGATTAGCTGCTGGATTTTGAAACTACTTTTGGTCATCTTAAAGACTGCAGGCTTGTGTTTGCCTCTTTCTATGATTGTTTTCCTCGAGAGTTTCCCAGCTCTGCTTGTTAAGATGTGAAATGGTTCTCAGAGCAGACACTGCACAATACAGCTGTAACAAAGATCTAAGCTTTTTGTAGAACAGGATTGTTGTTCCAAAGCATTCGTTTTTAAAAAGTGGGTATTTGAATTTTGTAAACCAGGTGTTATTTGAGAGCAAACATCTGCAAGTATAAATAAAAATTTAAAATAAATAAATAAATAAATGGTACACTGTAGGAGGAAAGAAAATGGCTGCTTAAAAAGCAGCAGCTTAAAAAGCTGTATCTACCACTGCAGTGGAGGGGATGGGGTGGGGGCTGGGTGCAGAGAAAGATTCTCCATGGCCATTTGAGCCAGGTCCACTACTGCTGCGAGAATAAGGGGAGCAAGGAGTGACATGATACTCCAGAGTACTTGATAGAAAAGAAAAAAGAAGCCAGAAAGAAGGGATTAAAGTCAGCTTCATAGCATAAGATGTCTAATAATTATAGCACGACTGAATGCAAAACTTTAGTAAAACTGGACATTTTTTTTAATATCACAAGGAAGCAACTCCAAGTTGTCTCCTAGTAGCATCCTATACTTCACTCTACTTAGAGTTTGGTGAACCCAGCCCCTTTGTCTAAATTAAGAATAGTCTGGAGTCGCCTGCCAAGCTGCAAAGCTTGAGAATAAGGAGCACATAGAAGTATAACAGCAGCGGTTGTTTCTACTGGACTTTCAAGTTCCTACTTTGACAGCTGGAAGAAAAGAGGTAACGGTGGAGGTGTCCTGGGGATGCGGTCAGGTAAGTGGACGCACTGAAAAGGTGAATGAGGAAGCTTAACATAGGGAGGTAGTACCAGGAAGCCTCACTAACTAATGAGAAGAGCCAGCAAGATGTCATAATAGCACCTTTACATACCTACACTTTTTGCCTCTTTATAACTTTAGTTTTCTGAGATCTAAAGCAATCCATGCTCTATGTAAAAATTAGGAAAATGGCCCATAAAAAAAGCACAGAAGAAAATTTAATAATCACCACAAATTTACCAACCAAAGATAACCACTGACAACAATTTGATGTACTTTTTTTCTAAGTACAAGTTTTAAAATCAAAATTTACGTCCTATGGTATAAACTATTTTATAACTTGATTTTTTCTTTTTGTTTAATAGTTATATTAGATAGTCCAGACATAAGAAAAAGCTTATTGAAACCCTTTCTCATGGCCAAGTCTACTCTTTTGTTCAGGGGATGGAAAGATCACTTTTGGTTTGGATGATCTGGAAGACTTCACAAATGAGTGGCATCTGAGTAGGGCCGTTAAAAATCGTAGGATTCTGAGAGGCACAGATAAGGTGAAAGGAATGGAAAGAGTAAATTTGTGAAGGTGGAAAGACCCAAGGAAGCACACAGAATCAGCTGATATACAGGGAGTACTGGGAAGTAAGGAAGGAATTTGATTGCTAAACCAAGTGTTGTGGGGAAGAAAAGGAGGGGAATACCAAGCAGGGAGTAAAAATAAAGGTAGATGAGGGCCTTTGGAATTAGGGACTAGGTCATCAGTGGAAACTTTGGAGGGAGACTTTCCAGCTCAATTGGTAGGGCTAAAACCCAGGAAACAGAAGGTTCAAAAGACTGTTTCCTATACCAAGAAGTTAGGCTGTGAAAAGAAAAACAAGAGAACATTAGCACTGGGACACTAGAGTCAGTACAAGTTTTTTTGCAAGACAGCAAAACAGAAAGGCTTGGTGTCAAAGATATCTCCTCTGAGACAGAAGAAAAGATAACAAGTGTAGATAAAGAAAGACGAATGTACTCAATCTCAATGATCTCAATTTTCTCAGCGAAGAGGAGAGATCAGTGGAGGAAATCAATAAGGGAAATGTAGTAGGACAACAGAGTAACACTGGATGTCCAGTTCAGGTTGGACAGCATGACTGTGTAGTGGGCCATGTTAATGGAGTTACTCCGTATTTCCCAGAACACTTGGAATTCCAAGGGTGTCATTTCTAAATGAGATGGTGGAGGAATCCAGGGCTGGGCACTGGCTGCAGTTCATGCAGATTAGGTATTTGTGAGAACAACAGTCAATGGCTGACCTTTGTAAATGGGTTGGCCAGGGAATGGAATGAGGCTTAAAAGAACCTAACAGACCTGGTGGGCGGGATGGGAGATGAAGGGCTTGAAGGGACTTGTGAGTATAGAATGTGGGTACCATGGGAGTGTTTGTTTTTTCTGGAGGGGGGTTGTTGGTGGTCTAAATTACAGTAATGTATTTCAATGCATATGTGTAAGGCACTATGCAATCCAGAAATGTAAAGTTCAAAGAACAAATCAACTGGCTGAAAAAAGCACAGAGTGCCTGATTTTGATAATTTGTTCTTCTAATCTCTGAATCAAACAGAAGTAAAAACATCCTGGAAAATACATCAACCTTAGCAATAATCTGACAGCTGAATCTTCAGTGAGAGTGGAGACTGGGGGCTATAACTCGGGAAGGCTTGGCTGGCAGCCACCTGGCAGTCAATTCACCGTACACTGAAAGGGATGGCTCGGGCTAATGAAGCGGTTTAAGTTACTTAAAAGCATTTAGGTTACAAACTGTAGTAGGTGGGGTATGCCAGCCATAGAAAAAGGGTGCTGCCCACAGGAAATATACAAAGAAAGTGTGTGGAGAATATCAAAACACAGGGAGATCATTTACACCAGGAAGGAGTTTACCTTTCTTAATCTCCTATAAAACTAAAACCATATATGGCACATGTCCAAACTAGCAGCTATAAATGCTCAAATGCATAAACAAAGCTTTGCATTTTTAATTATGCAACATATTGGAATGTTACTAAGCAAGAAAATGCAGTAGGTTTTTATTAAACCTACAGAATTAGAGCTAATCACTTATACAATGCAACTTAATAAGGATGGATAATGATTTGAGAAGATGCAAGACCTTAAAGTTAAAAGCTGTTAGCAAACCTCCTACTCTAAAGTCTAGGTGTAACAAATATTTCACACTAGGAGTTAAAGGGAGCAACTACAATGCTAACAAAAGGAGAAACAAATACAATACCTCTGGATTCATTATCCCTTCTTTTTTAAAACAGCTGTAAAACATGTCCATGGAAAAGACTTCACTCCAAAGATATCCATAGTATTGGCCATCATATCCCCCTGCCAAATGTCCAAAAGTAGCTGGCATATTTGTGCCTTTAAAGAAACATACATTTCAATCAATGTGATGGCAAGTGTTAATTATCAGGTTATCAGCTAGCTAAGGTTTCCCATGGGGAGTCCAGCTGTGGGAGGAAAGAGCAATAGTATCTCACCTCTAGTACTCCCTGGGTTTATGTATGCCTTTGGCAAAGATGTTTACCAGCTTCTCTCCTATGATGGATCAACCTCAGACCTGGTTTTGGCTCTAAGCTCTGGAATGCCTAACAATAGTTTCAGAGGCTGTCCACACCCAGCAAAGAGTTCAGATTTTCAGAAGTCAGTTCTTTCTTACCCCTTAGACATACCAAAAAAAAAAAACAAACCTGCTGCCATCAACTCGATTCCAACTCATAGCAACCCTATAGGACACAGCAGAACTGCCTGATAGTTTCCAAAGGAGTGCCTAGTGGATTTGAACTGCTGACCTTTTGGTTAGCAGAGGTAGCTCTTAGCCACTATGCCATCAGGGTTTCCTTAGACATATATGTGTCTTATAAATAATATAAACCCTATTCTTTGTCATACCTCTTTATATCTAAAATGTGTCAGCAAGGCACATACCTTAGGTTGATAATTACTAAAAAAGAACTCTTCACTTGAAACGTTAAAAAGATTTTACCAGTTTAGTCTACGTCTCAAAAACAAAAACAAAAATAAAACCAGTTGCCATTGAGTTTATTTTGACTCATGGTAACCCCATATATTGCAGAGTAGAATTGCACTCCACAGGGTTTTCAAGGTTGTGACCTTTCAGAAGCAGATCACCAGGACTGTCTTCTAAGGCATCTCTAGGTAGGTTCGAACCACCAACCTTTTGGTTAGTAGTCAAGTGCTTAATCTTTTGCACAACCCAGGGACTCCAGTCTACTTCAAGGGTACTTTTAAAAGGAGCTACAGTGTCCTGAGGCACAAAGTTGCTCTATGGTCCACTATAAACACATCATAAAAGAAAGTGAAGAACTAGATTGATTCAATTGACTATCCTTATCTTTATTATCTCTATAAATATGGCTGATTCATTTTAATAACAATTTCCTTAGTGAAAAAAATTCTCCTTGCCAACTACATAGACACGCTCAACTACATGCTGGTTTAAAATTAAGTATAAGTGACATACACACGCACACAAACGAATCTCAGGTTAGAAACTGCAAATCAAACTGACTGAACTGATCTCAGAATCAGAAACAAGGTAGAAGTTTGTGCTTCTCTTTACAAACGTCTTTTTTTCCAAATCAGAGGGAAGTTCATGGTGCAGATAGGGAAGGAGAAGTCAAATGGGTGTTACCAAATGTGAATGGCTCTCCCTGCTCTGGGGTGGAGGCCAATTGTGCAAGCCTGATTACACTAAAATGCTGCAAAGCTGGACCTACCTTTCCTTCAAGCACATTTGGCAGGATAACTCATAAGGACATAGTATGTTTATCTTAAAGTCATGACCTGGTTACAGAAATCAGAAACAAATGAAATTAGGTAAGCTAGTGGACAACTCTACCTTCTCTGGCGGTGTTAGGAGGATGCCCTATGCTTCACAGGAAAAATGAACCCAAACCTTAGTATTTACATACCTGGAGTAGCAGAAACTCCTAAAATTTCTGTGCAGTATTTGGCATATTCACTTGCAGCATCCAGTGATATGTTGGTATGGAGAGACTGATCAACCTTGCTTAAAACAATCTGGCGTAGCGTCAGAAGACCTAGTAACATAAGAATGTTTGGGCATGTTTTAGAGAAGAGAGAATTGTGTGCTAACACCACAAGATCACAGATTTCAAAACTGATTCCAGCAGCACTCATCGCAAAATGGGAGCAAGACATCTCATTCTATTTAAGATTCAAAATCTTAAATTTAAAATTGAAATATAAATTTAAAATACCACAGGGTTTCTTTCTCCAATGTATTAGCACTCTTGGGGTACCATTATTAAAGGACAAGTAAGTTTTTTTTTTTTTTTTTTATTGTACTCCAGGTGAAGGCCTACAGAACAAATAGTCTCCCATGAAACAGTAGCACACACACTGTTCCACGACATTGGCCAACAACCCCACAACATGTCAACCCTCTAACCTCTCAACCCCTTTTTTTGGTGAAAATACACATAGCCAAAGACACACCACCTCAAAAACCTCTACATGCACAGCTCAGTGACATCGATCACGCCTCTCCAATTGTGCCGCCACCCTCACCCAAGACGAAGGCCCACAGAACAAAATAGTCTCCCACCCAACAGTTACTACAAATGTTGCCCTGTGACAGTGGTCAACAATCTCACAACACATCAACAATATCCTCACTCAACCCTGGGCTCCCCACCACCAGCTTCCCCATCCTCCCCTGCCCCCCAGCCCCCGTCACTGGACTACTGTACCCCATCAGTCCCATCCAGTTCTACCGGGCTGTCCACTTCCAGGCCGAACGGTGAACCTTGGAGATAACCCCACCACTGAGCCAAAACGGTGTCTGGGGGCCACACTCTCGGGGCTTCTCCAGTCTCCTTTAGGCCAGTAAATCTGGTCTTTTTTGTGAGTTAGAATTATGTTCCACATCCTTCTCCAGCTCTGTCCAGAACCCTCTGTTGTGATCCCGGTCAGAGCAGTCAGTGGTGGTAGTCGGGCACCATCCAGCTGCACTGGACCCAGTCTGGTGGATGCCCTGGTAGCTGTGGACAACCAGTCCTTCGGACTAATCTTTTCCCTGTAACCTGCTCTCTTCATTCTCCCTTGCTCCCGAAGGGATGAGACCAGTGGAGCATCCCAGATGGCCGCTCACAGGCTTTTAAGACCTCAGACACTACTCACCAAGGCAGAATGCAGAGCATCGTCTTTATAAGCTGTGTTATGCCAATTGAGCTAGATGTTCCCCAAGACCATGGTCCCCACAGCCCTCTGCCCAGCAATTCAGTCCCTCAGGGAGTTTGGATGAAGGACAAGTAAGTTTTATAGATGAACATGTCAGCAATTCTGCATTAAGCAATTCTAATTTATTTTCCTTTCTAAAATTTCAAGTCATACCTGTGTTGACCAGTCTAGAAGCAACAAGTTTTTCAAGCAGATCATCCGTAATAGGACTTCCATCTTTATAATGTTTTGACAGTCTTCGGAGAGAATCAATGTCCCATACCCAATTTTCAAGCATTTGTGATGGCACCTCTACAAAGTCAGTTTCCACATTTGTTCCACTAAATCGTGCAAAATCAGTCTATCAAGCAAACATAGGAGGTATTTTTGAAAGGACAGAATGAAAATTACATATGCAATCAATTATAATTAAGACTCACCAAAACTTAAATCAGAGTCAGGGTCAACTGTTCCTTGAACAGAGGGTTAAAAAGACCACAAATTTAAATGAAAATAAAATACAGCAGCCAAGCAGCGTGAAAAATAACCCTCAAATACTCTATATTAAAGAAATATTTCATTCCTTTGAATCACAGACAAACTTGGAGCAATCATCAGAAAATCATAACTGAAAAAATATAGCATAAGCTACAACAATCCTTAAGCTTTGAAAGTAAAAGTATTTCTAAAGAACTTTCCAAAAACAAAGAGATCCATAATTTAAGACAAAAATATTTCTCTCTAGCTGCCCCTTGCATTTGCTTAATACATGCCTTTTTTGGGGGACTCATCACTCTACTGCTTAACTACTCAAACCAAACCAGTTGTTGTTGAGTCGATTCTGACTCGTGGCGACATCATGTGTTTCAGAGTAGAACTGCGCTCCACAAGGTTTTCAATGGCTGTGATCTTTCAGAAGTAGAAAGCTAGGCCTTTCTTCCAAGGTGCCTCTGGGTGGATTGGAACCACTATGCTTTCAGTTGGTAGCCAAGTGTTTAACTGTTTGCGCCACCCAGGGACTCCACGTAACTAATCAGTTTCAATAAAAATCAGAGTTAGATTACAATATTACAGACTGATACTCTCTTTGTGTGTGATGTGCCTAAACTTTAAATAAGTCATTTCTATAACATGGTTGTAGAAAGCCTGAGTTCTCTCTCTCAAATTGGGTAGAAGAGGATACCTTAAGATAAGAAACCATTTCAGTGGGAATCAGGGCTGTAAATTAGTTGGTGAGCAGGGTGAGGTAAAATGGTATAGGAAAAGAGAAATAAAGAATATGCTCAGAAGTTAAAACACTCTTGGAAAAATAAAGGGCTTATATTGAGGTCCTAGGAAAGAATAATAAGAGTTTAAAAAAAAAAAGGAAAGTTCAGTAAAATGTTGAGTCAGATGTCAGAAAAGCTCTTAAGTACGAAGCTGGGGAATCACTAGAACAAGCTAGTGGTTTTTAACCTGCACACCATCCACAGAACATCTGTACAACTGTCACTGGCAGAGAAGACTTAGCATTCACCCCAACAGGTCAAGTGCAGAATGGGGGTCATCGTTATGTTGTCTTTCTCTGTCTCTGTCCTGTTTTCCTCATCAGATGCTTTACATCCCAATCTTCTCTCCCTGACTTCATCATCCCTTGGGCTTTGAACGCAGGGGAAAGGGAAGAGGGACTTAGCTACCAGAGAATGCAGCAGATGGCATGTTGAATCAGCAGCAAACAACCATTCTGTTTTTGGCCCAGGGCAGAGGCACAGATGTCAATGCCATCTCACATTCTGCCTTCCTTTCTATGCAAAAAAAGTGTTTTGCTTGACTTCCCATTATAACTGTGCTGATTCTAGATATGAAGAGCTGCAAATACTGAAGAGCCAAGGGAAACTAAATTCACTAGAAGCTGGAATTAAACCACCTCTGTTGAGGACATCCCAGTAAAAAATTCTTACAGGGAAAGAGGCAAGGATCCCTGAATTTTTGGTAGATTATCTTCTAACAACCTACACTATAGACTTACCCAGGACTTGGGATGGTAGTGATATTTGTAATGCTAACTACATACTTTTCTAAAGTATTTTTAGTTTTTAAAATAGGTACTAAGAGAGCAAATAAAGGCAAAATCATACCATCTGCTACCACTGTACAACAGTTTGACAAAAATATAAACTTCATAATCCTGCTTGTGTATTTGAAAAACAGTAATTTTTCAGAGTTAGTATTTGCAGATGAGGGTGAAAAATCAAGCCCAAATAACAACAAAAAAGTGTATGTTTGTGTGTATAGAGGGGAGTAGGTTCAGTACCCAGAGAAAACATGAACAAATGAATAACTCACATGGTGGAGTTAAAATTGAACAAAATAAGAACCAACACAGTTATGTCATGCAGAGTAGAGAAGAGAGGGCTTATTCTATCCAAAAGTCATCTTGCAGTGGCGGGGAGGAGGAGGGAGAACACAGCAAATGAACGAACACATCAACAATGTCTTCTAAAGAACAAAAGGAAATGTTTGCAGGGAATAAAAGCTAAAAATAACCCTACTGCTTACCAATTTCCCGATAGTCACACTGCTTCTCTGTGTGCCCACCCTTTAGGCAATATCATTTAAATATTTTTCAAATGAGGAGGACAAAGAACCTACAAAATTCAAACCTTCAATTTCTAGCAAATAACTAAATTCTAAAGAGAAAGGAATCCACAGTCAGCCACTGTGTATGCCCACACAGAAACCACAGGCAAGACTTAGGATCTAGCAGCCTCGCAGGCAAATAATACGGCTGCTAAACAATTACTCATTCCTCCCAGCCACCAGATATCACTATAAAGTTTTTAAACTGCAACCCAATGAGCCCTAAAGTACATTATATGGTTTTCAATATGTGCAATTTGAGGGTCTTTAACATAGAAGCTTTGTGGGCTATGGTAACTACTGGTGCTAATATCTATCTCCCACATAAGGTGGAGTATTCTAAAATAAACATCACAAAATAATCCGATTAACAAATCATTTTGCCGATGACACGTGAAAAAATCTTACGGCATTATTGCTGTAGAAAATATTCTGACAAAGCCTAGAGAACAATGTAAGCTTAGATTCCTGTTTGCTTAGAAGTTCCTGAGAGGAAGAAAGTTGTCTGAAGATGAGATTTTTCCTTATCTTTTTAAACAGACAATAGGATGCCTAAAACATACTCCATTACAGATTTTTAAATACAACTGAATCTTCAACAGATGACTTGATGTTATATACAAAGAATAACTTTCTCATTTCATACAACATAGTATGAGCTGGAACAAAATTATATAAAGTTCAAAAAGTCTTATGTAAGCTTTTATGTTTAAATGCCAAACTCTTATGGGTTACTGTTCTAATTAAGAGACCAGTTTCTTTCAGTGGTTGCAACTAAGCGTTATTTTCACTACAGCAAATCCTAATTCAAAGGAAAGGTCGCTGCTGAAATCAGTAAGTGTATTGTGTTTAGGAAAAAGAACAGGCCTCAGGAGAGCTGACCTTGGTTCTTCAGGGTGATCCACTATTGATTTCTTAGCAGTTATTCCGTATTGTGATCTGTCTGATCTATCCCTATATCCAAGGATGATGGAGAAATTTATGTAACAAACCAAGGCAATAAAAAAGAAAGATAAAAAAAGTGGCCACTACCCCTAGACTTTGTCATAAATAACAAAAAAAACAAAAAAACAAAAACAAAAACAAAAAAACCCATTGCTGTCGAGTCAATTCTGACTCATAGCAACCTGTAGGACAGAGTAGAACTGCCCCATACAGTTTCCAAGGAGCTCCTGGTGGATTCAAACTGCTGACCTTTTGGTTAGCAGACGTAGCTCTTAACCACTATGTCACCAGGGTTTCCTTATCATAGAGGATTAAAATGTCATACTTCCAACTTCACACATATCTAATGATCACTGGAGGTAATAGTAGTAATAAAGAGAACATGAGTAACACTTTGTTAACTTTATAAATCTCTGCAACAGAAAACCTTATGAATAGTAGCAGAAAGACTGTGAGGATGGCTCAGGGAGGACCGGGTAGTGTTTCATTCTGTTGTACAGAGGGTCACTATGAGTTGGAGCCAACTCAATGGCACCTAACAAGAAGAAGAAAAAACAGTTCAAGCGGTCAGTATTGCCACTATCATTTAAAAGACATGTAAAACAACATACAATCAGCAGAAGTATTGAATATTGCATCTTAAATTCCTAGTCTCATCCCTAAATTGGCTATACATTCTTATGTTGTGTTGTTAGGTGTCGTCGAGTTGGTTCCAACTCATATCGACCCCATGCACAACAGAACGAAATGCCTGGTCCTGCTTTATCCTCACAACAGCTGCTATGTTTGAGCCCACTGTTGCATCCACTGCTGTCACTCCATCTCTTCTGAATCCCGCTTGAAATTCTGGCAGTTCTCTGTTGATGTACTGCTGCAACTGCTTTTGAATGATCTTCAGCAAAATTTTACTAGTGTATGACAGTAATGATATTGTTTGATAATTTCTGCATTCCGTTGGATCACCTTTCCTTGGAATGGGCACAGATATGGATCTCTTCCAGTCAGTTGTCCAGTCTTCCATTTTGGTCTTCCAAATTTCTTGGCATAGACAAGTGAGCACCTCCAGTGCTGCATCCATTTGTTGAAACATCTCAGTTGGTATTCCTCCAATTCCTGCAGCCTTGTTTTTTGTCAGTGCCTTCCGTGCATCTTGGACTTCTTCCTTTAGTACTATTGGTTCTTAATCATATGCTACCTCCTGAAATTGCTGAACATTGATCAATTCTTTTTGGTAAAGTGACTCTGTGTATTCCATCTTCCTTTGAGGCTTCTTGTGTCATTCAATTTTTTGCCCAAAGAATTCAATATTGCAACTTGAGGCTTGATTTTTTTCTTCAGTCCTTTCAGCTTGAGAAATGTCCAGCGTGTTCTTGCCTTTTGGTTTTCTAACTCCAGGTCTCTGTACATTTCATTATAATACTTTACTTTGTCTTCTCATGCTGCTCTTTGAAATCTTCTGCTCAGCTCTTTAACTTCATCATTTCTTCCGGTTGTTTCAGCCACTCTACATTCAACAGGAACATTCAGAGTCTTTTCGGATATCCATTTTGGTCTTTTCCTCCTTTCCTGTCTTTCTAATGACCTTTTGCTTTCTTCATGTACAATGTCCTAAATGTCATCTTAAAACTCGACTGGTCTTCAGGCATTAGAGTTCAATCCATCAAACCTGTTCTTGAAATGGTCTCTAAATTTAGGTAGGATATACTCAAGGTTGTACTTTGGCTTTTGTGGATTTGTTTTAATTTTCTTTAGGTTCCACTTGAACTTGCATATGAGCAATTGATGATGGTCTATTCC